AGTTGCTCTGTTCAAACTCTCATCAGGCAAAGCATTTCCTACCGAGCAACTGTTATTACGTACATGTTCGTTTGGTTTATAAGCTGTATTTTTCAGCCAATGAACAGTATTTTTCTCTCACAATAAATTAGTCAACCGTACTTTCAGCCATAGCGAATAGGGCATTAGTATTTTCTACCTGTTCATCTGCATTAATTGTCTTGAAATCTGCACCAAGTATTTGGTACAACCAACAGAAGAATGTATCTAGCTCCGATTTCAGCAAAACAACAATTTCACAGATTATATAGTTTCTGACCGGATCAGTTCGGCAAAATAGCCACTCACAACTTTCCACAGAAAGAATGTTTTATTTGAATAATTTTGTCCAAATCGTTTGATTAATTGTTCGTTTGCGGAGGATCCAATCCAGAGCAAAACTCATTCTAAACCAGGAATGAGTGTTTGATTTCGTCAACATTTAATCATTCCACTCATATATATATCAGAGAGGGTCGGAGATGTGACTGGGAGAATCTTCTTTTTCACATAGTGTCAAAAAAAGAAATTTTTGTTCCGGGTCCGTTATAGTTTCTGACCGGATCAAAACGTTCGCACAAAATAATTCTCATCCGGATTTCAACAGAAGAATCCACCCGGAATGTGCCAATCCTTTTGTCCAAATACCTTGGTGTGCGCGGCCTAGATCCGTGCCCATTCCTGTCCAAACTTCGAATTTGATACGAGTCTTCGAGTCAGTGTTATGGTGCGCTGTGGAGTACTACGAGTCCACGGGCTCCTGCGCATGCTCCTCGGTAGCGGGTACATGTCGACCGCCACTAACAACCTCAGCCGAACGCTCCTCCAGCACGCCGTACTTTGTGGCAGCGCCGGTGCCGTCCAGACCTTGCTAGGGTCCGATGCAGACTCCGAAGCTTCAATGAAGACGTCCAGGAGCAACAGGTCCAGACTGACTCACCTAGCCGCGCGCCTTGGGCAGTCGGAGATCCTGCAGATGCTGGTTGACAGGGGCTACAACGTGAACGCGAGGGCGGAGGGCGGCGACACTGCTGCCATCCTCTTCTTGCGCCACAAACGCAAGGACTGCCTTGGTGTTCTCGTGTCCGCTGGTACAGACGTCGTGGTATTAAACTCCATGGCCTTCGTCGCTTCCTCCAGGGGATGGAAGACCGGCTTCGAACGGGCTGTTCATGGTGCGATTCAGACCGGGACCATCCCACGCTCAAGCGAGCGGAACGTGTTCTCCCCGCACTGATGTTCATCCCGTTGTGCAGCGACGCGACCACGGTGGAAGTGTTGCTCGCTCAGTCAGAAGTTGACGTGGACGAGCAGGATTTGGATAGGTGCTCACCCATAATGGCTGCTGCCAAAAGATGGGCAACGTTGAGGCCTTCCGCGCCTCGTATTCGCTGGCGCCAACAAGCCAGGCGAGATGGCCATTGGACTAGCGCAGCAGAGCAAGAAGAGAGACCTCTTCGAGCAGGTCATGCTCGAGTTCGTGCTGGAGAAGGATGTTAGGGACGCTGCGATAGGTTGGCAAGTGACTAGTGGAGGCCAAGCCAGGCATCGAATCAATTATCAAACAACAGAATACTTCTCCTTCCTAGGCTACTGTTCTTCTTCCTCTCCAACTATATCTCTCTGTACCGGTTCCCCTTTTCTTATCTACTTCGACCTCCCTTTCCCTTGAGGTTCTTTTTCAAGCGAGCAGACTTTTGTTCCTCTGTCTCGTCAGCTGTTTCGAGTGCGTCGGTAGACTGACAACGGTTCATCGCCTGAGTTGACATCTAGGGCGCGGAGCATGAAAACTTCCCGGCTATGGCCATAGCAGACGGTGGCGGTGCTATTGGTGCCAGACTCGGCTGTTGAGGCGCTTGAGAGAATCTCGGTAGAGCCCTCCTCCTCGAGGGTTGGAAGTGGCGTGGCGACTTGGAACGACAACCGTCTCATCATGCCTACTAACCTTGATGAATCAGATGAGTCCATGAATGGCCAAACTCCCAGCCAGTGCACAATGTTTCCCTCTGACGTGACCGAGACAACCAAGCCTTGCTGAGCCCATGCTAAAGGGGTCTCCTGATCCGCCTCCGTGATGAAAGCGGACCACATAACCCTCGAAACCGACTCCTGGTAGACATAAGCCGTATTCCTGAGTCGGAGTGGAAGTCGAACTAGGAGACCGTGGTTGGCCGATGACCGAAGAGTTGATTCGGTGTCCGAGTAATACTCGAACTATGTCAGCTGATGTTGAGTCCAGGTAGGATTTTTCTCGACGAGATCCTCCATCGTATCTTGATGGTTTGCTAGAGTCGTTTGATCCGCCGGGATCTCCACGAGGTGACTTTGGAGCTTTTTGGAGTCGTCCGCCATACAGATCCAGGAACCAAAGATGAAAGTTGATCTCGCCCGGGAAACCATGGTGATGTTGAGGTCCATCGAGCTCTCGAACGCGAATTCGCCGAAAATCTCTACTTGGCGTGCTAGCTGTCGGTGTTTGATGACTGACAACACGTCACGAGGTTACCTGAGACGATGTATGATGGGCTTCGGCGTATGCAGAACTCGACGATGAACTCGAAGACATCGGTTTATACTGGTTCAAGCCGCCGAATAACGTAATACCCTAGTCTAGTTAGGTGTGTTGCCTTGCGTTGGATTTATTGTATATGAGATGATTACAAGGGATTGCCCTTGCCTCTCTTTATATACGACAGAAGAATTTTAGTTCTACTATATAAGCTATCTTTTCTAGAATCCGATTAGGGCAGCGTTTAGTTCCGGTCAAAGTTGGCGCCGCCGGAAATCAAGCTGCACTGCAGTGCACTGTAGCATTTCGTTTGTATTTGGTAATAATTGTCCAAATATTGACTAATTAGGCTTAAAACGTTCGTCTCGCAAAGTACAATCAAATTATGCAATTAGTTTTTGATTTCGTCTACATTTAATACTTCATGCATGTACCACGCAAGTTTAATGTGACGGAATCTTCTTTTTACGTAGTGTCAAATTCAGAAAATTGAGGAAACTAAACGTGGCCTAGTTCGGTCCATCTTAGCTTGAGTATATGCCACCTTGTCTTTAGTCCTCAAGCAGGCCGTGGGCTAGCCTAAGCCTGAACCGGTTCGGTGGGGAACCTTAGCGTCCTGGTCTATCAGTATTTTACCAGATTTTTATATTATGTAAAAAAGGACGAAAGTGCGCATGCCTTCAAAGTCACTTCAATTCAGTACCAAGAGGTAATTTGAACGTTTTTAGAATTCAGAAAGTAATATGTCTGGTTTTGATGTTAGAGGAGGAAATATCAAATCATGGTTATGGTTTGGCGGTAAAATAGACCATGGAAAATGAATCGTGAAGGATTGAAGTGAAAAATAACACATGGGTGGATTGAAGTGCAGTGTAACAAGTCGTCCTTCCCGCACAGGCCACCGGACCCCGGAAACGGTACAATATGCAAACTTGAGTTAACCACCGGCAGCGCCATGCGTGGTGTGGGAGTAGCTAGATGCTAGCTGCCGTGATGGCGTGATTCATGCACGGGCGCAGTGGTGGACAAGATTAGGTTCACGGGGCGGATGCAGCTTGTGTGCTATATCTGTTTTTTTCTCAGCGCAGCTGCGAGGGGAAAACGGAAAAAAGGAGGGAGCATCATGGATCAGGATCATAGTGATGCTTTGCGAAGTGCAGGAAGCGGAGAAGATGACTCAAGAAGAAGACATGAAAGTCTCGTCTAAAGTTCAAAATTGTGACCCGATCTACGTACGTAGCGCAGTCACCTGTGAGCCGTCGGAAACTCGGAAGCATGGATGCCAAGTTATGCCACCGCATGTGGGGTGTTCGGTGGAATGCCCATGAGGTAAACAGCTTGCTAATATAATTTTGCTGGGTTAGTGTGGTAGCTCGTTTCACCTCGGCGTGTGTGCCGATCATCGGGGTCACGGTGTTGGAACTATTCTTGTGCTGGCCATCAAGTACCAAGGGAAATGCTTAGCAATTGCAAGTTAGCAACAGATGCTACTATTATTGTTCTTCCTGTGGTGATAGTCACTAAGGCAATATCAGTTCTACGCTTCTAGTTATACACACGTCGTGTTTCTTAACTGGTGTCTAATTTTAACAACACTAAATAGTATACCATCTTCCCTTTTTCCCCTGAGAACATTCAGGCACCTCAAACCTTGATTTGTTATTTTTGGGGCGAAGACACCATCGCCAAGTGTTTTTCCCACTTGCCCCTGTTGCATGGTCATTAGCCATTCACCACTTATGCTTGGTTCCTAAATCTCCTCCCGTTTGCCCTGCAAAATTTGCTGTTCTTTTCATCTTTCTGCCTCGCAGACCTCTTGTCAAGAGGTCCTATTGGATGGATGGCGCAAGAAATTTGAAGGTAGAGATAAAACTCACTGTTGTTCGATTTTCACTTCTTGGCCTGTTCTTTTCCCGGAAACACTTATGCACAGATTTCTTGGTCTCTTCTTTCTTCCCCTCTACTTTTCTTTTTCCTTTTTTTTTTCCTTTTAACGAACTTTCTTTACCCTCTTCTTGGCACCTCGCTGAATACATTTTATCACAAGAGATATTACACGGGGCTTTTCAATTATAATTGACATGCCTTGGTAAAATTGTGAATAGTTAAGGAAATTCATGAATCTGTTTCTAATGTGCTTTCCAATTGAAAGGTCCTACATTTTATGGCCCCGTTCGCTGGTCTTAAAAATGGCTTGTTCGGCTTCTTTTTTCAGCCGGAACAGTGTTTTTCTCTCACAGCAATTCAGCCGGAACAGTGTTTTTCAGCCAGTTTCTGCCAAATTTCAGACCAGCGAACGGGGCCATATATCCTTTGATTTGATTTTCCTTCTTGGCAAAGGGTGTCAACGCACTCATAGAAAACTCCTGAAGAGATTCGCATGAGGAACAAAAGCAGCAAGGCATATCAGAGAAAACGCTAGGCAAAAGGGTGAACAAAGAAAACCGTCACATATTACAGTTTAATCAGGAAAATGGGGCTGTCAATCTCATACCCACCAGATGACTACCTGCCTGAGGATGACGATGATGGTATGGACAGGATCTTTGTGCGGTCTCTAAGCTTTGATAATCTCAGCACACTTGAGACCCTTGAATCGCCACCAGCATTGCTTGACGCACTGACTTCGAAGAGACTCATCGTAAGAGGCTCTTTAAGCTTTGAAAAAAGGGAGGGTGATCCACTTCAAGTTGAAACTACAACCTGCAAAGAAGAGTTACATCTACAAGACCATCATCCTGCCAAGATATAGGTCCACGGAAAACCTACCACCAAATTCTCCGGTAATTGGGATGGTCAGCCCAGTGCACCAGGCTGCAGCACTAAGAGTGCAGAAGGTGTACAAGAGCTTCAGGACAAGGCATCAGCTTGCTGATTGTGCTGTTCTTGTTGAACAACGCTGGTTTGTAAAATTCCTTGTGTTAATCATGCATTTTTCATACGTGATATAGTGTGATTTTGACAATGGGGCAATGTTACTGAATTTCGTGAATTGTATACCAAATCCAGGTGGAAACTACTTGATTTTGCATTGCTCAAGCGCAATTCAGTGTCATTTTTCAATGTACAGAAGCCTGAGTCAGCCCTCTCGAGGTGGTCTAGTGCCAGAATGAGAGCTGCCAAGGTAAAAATTCATGTGTTTACACGTTATGCTACTTAACAATTATTTTGAGCTTGGAACTTAGAATTTGTAGCGCAGTTGTGTGTTATAGTATTATGGTCCTACTATACTGGTTCTTGGCGTTATTGTTATCCTTTTTTTGGCATTAGTTGTTTTCATAACATTGTAAACTTCATAAACTAAACAAGTTGAACTAATTTTATTCTGCCGTTACTGTCAAATTTGGTCTGGTAGTTTTTTATTGCTGAACCCTGGCTTTAATATGCTGACTGCACATTGTTGCTATGAAGCTGATATTCTCAACTACTAAAACGATGTAGTCTGATTTCCAAAGGACCGTTGTCATACCTTTGTTCTAGTATGATTGAATACTGAATTCGTATCTGGTGTTCTTCTGTTTTTGCTTCAGGTAGGAAAAGGTCTTTCCAAGGATGAAAAAGCTCAGAAGCTCGCACTGCAACACTGGCTTGAAGCAGTACGCATGAAAACAATTTCTTTCAAACACTAATTGATGAAAGAACATCACAGAACATTCACGTTTCATGGGCAGATTGACCCTCGACATCGGTATGGCCACAACCTCCACTACTACTACCAATATTGGCTACACTGTGAGAGCAAACAGCCTTTCTTTTACTGGTACAGTCCATGTGAAAGTTTTAAATCTATCTCCAAACCAGCTGAAAGTTCAAAGTTCTCTGAAATCACGTTTTAATAGGTTGGATATAGGTGAAGGAAAGGAGGTTAATATTGATGACCACTGTCCAAGATGGAAGCTGCTGCAGCAATGCATCAGGTTTGTGCTCCAACCCTCACACCAATGAATATGAAATCTCAGAGCAGAAAAGGCTTCGTATCTGAAACCGTAGATGATTTGCTACTTTGGGCAGAAAGAAAGGGAGTCCTATGAGGTCGTGGTTGAGGATGGAAAGATGATGTACAAGCTGAGCAACAAAATCGTCGACACATCCGAAGGCCCCAGGGATGCAAAATGGATCTTCGTGCTGAGCACAACGAGAGTTCTATACATCGGTACGGTATGTCCAACCACACCAGTACACCACCTTGAAACCTTAAGCAGACAGTAGAGCTGGCCTCTGACAGATGAAAAATAATCACATTGTTGCAGAAGAGCAAGGGCACATTTCAGCACTCCAGCTTCCTCGCTGGTGGAGCCACATCTGCTGCTGGCAGACTGGTTGTGGAGAATGGGATTTTAAGGGTGCATGGATCAACACTTCCCTTCCAGCCTCGTAGTGTTTTACTTGTACAGCACCCAGGTCACCTGTCTGATTCAGTTTAGATATTTCAGGCTGTCTGGCCACACAGTGGGCACTACCGCCCTACGGAGGCGAACTTTCGTGAGTTCATGAACTATCTGAAGAATAGGTATGTGAATATTACAAATGTCTGTTAGATATTATGGGCTTGGCCCATTTATTTAATATCTCTATTAAACTCTATGGTCCGTACATGTGCATTAATGGTTTTTATACCATATGGGAATTTAATCGAGAGGCGACTCTACTTAAATACTTGATCATTGATCGATCTATTTGAGAAGTAAAAGTGAATCACCTGGATGCCACGCGCGCGCGCGCGCCGCCCGCCGCCCGCCCGGCCCGGCCCGAGCCCGCGGCGGCGGCGAGCGAGCGGACGGGCGGGCGAGGCCTTTATTTTTGACACTCAGTTTCCTGTGACGAATTGATTGGAGGAGTTTCTGTTAACTCCCGTGACTTCTGGCTCTCCGTCTCCGTCTCTCCCACCGCAGGGGGGAGGTGTGACCCTTCGGTGCTGTCGGCTTCTCGTCTTCTGGCCTCCGCCTATAAGACAAATCCTCCCCTCTCGGTTAAGCTCTCTTGGCGAAGTACACCACTTTCCAGCAAGCGCAAGTCTTTCCCGCTCCACCTCCGGCGAGCACTAGAGATGGAAGAGTAGGCCTCCGGAACGCGTCTCCGTCGTGGGCTTCATCTGCTCGGGTGAAGACGGGCGATTACGTTTTTGGGGAGTGTCGGTGGTGGCACGACTACTCGCTGGTGAACCTGTAGCGGTGCGTCTTCACGACGTCCTTATCTCAGACTTTGCATCGAAGCGGGGCGACTACACAAAAACAAAGAACCACCATGGCCTTTCTCAGTGCGGCGGCTCCGCCAAGCGGGTATAATCTCATTCACCCTCTTCTCGAGTTTCATTATCAATATCATGATGTTCCTAGGCAATACTACTTTCATATTCAAATGATGCTCGCTTGGTTGATTTGGATGATTATGCTAGTACTGTTTTTCTGGTTCCTTTTAATTTTGTGATCATCATGATCTTGATATTTGAGAACACATCTTTTATATTTATGATCATGTCTGTGAGGCTTCAGCTGAATAAAACAATGTTTCACATATGTTTCGGTTCTATAATTTGCCTTATTATCATGTTAACACTTGTCATGAATTGTTTCTGTTATTTTATTCATGACGTCACTCTTATTTTTATTGCGTCATTTTTATGGATTAAAATAAATATGAAAATGCCTTATTTATCAACAATGTCAAGGTGAAGAAGCAAATCAGAGTGATGTACCTATACTGCTACACATATACCATCTTAGCCCAGGAACATAAACCTACCTACATTGTCCATTTTTTCTGACACAAGAACATCTTTTGGTTGTTGTTTTTCTACAGTTGAGCCCATCAGAAGGTGAGGAGGACGAGTGGTTCAGGCAAAGGGGCAGCCTTTCCCAGCTCAAGCACACGGAGAGCAGCAATCCCGCAAGTGAAGAAGACTCCTCCAGTTTTTTCAAAAAAGAAGACTCCTCCAAGTCTCACCCCCCTGGTGCTGACCAAGACAAGGCCACTGCAAAGGCCACACCAGCCACGCCACCATCCACGAGCCATGATAAAACAACAACCAGCACGGCGACACCAGGCACGCCGGCCATGAAGAGGTCCTCGTCGGGCAGCCGGCTGCAGCGCAAGCGGCCTCCACGGTTGGCAGTGAGCAAGAGCCGGCTGGGCAAGGGCAGCGGGGAGCAGGGCGCGGGCGCGTTCGGGGACTGCCTGGACTTCTGCAAGGAGAACCTGATCCGGGGCGGCGAGGGGGGCGACGGCGAGGAGGTGGTAGTGGTGCCGCAGGAGAAGATCCTGCACCGCATCAACTCCAAGATGAGCCTGCACTCGTACCAGCTCGGGAACCAGCTCTCGTTCCGCTGGACCACCGGCGCCGGGCCCAGGATCGGGTGCATCCGGGACTACCCGCCGGAGCTGCAGTTCCGGTCGCTGGAGCAGGTCAGCCTGTCGCCGCGCGGTGGCGCCGGCCCGCCAAGGCTCGGCACAACTCCCCGGCAGAGCCCGTGCGCACCGCTCGTGCCGTCGACGCCCGGAGGCCTCGTGTCGCCGCTGTACGGTCACGGTGGGGCGGGGACACCTGCGCCGCGGCTACAACACGGTGCGGCCTAGAGCTCGCCGCTTCGCCATGAGATCGTGACGAGTGACGGCCCAGAAAATTATCTTGGGGGATGGGAGGCCAGATGGACAAGTAGGGGCGAAGTTTTTTCTCCTGCTGAAAAGCAAGGACAAAGGCTTCAAATAAAAGACATGGACGAATGGTTAAACAAAGAAAAAAAGCTCATTATTTTACTAGTACTATAATATTTAGGCATATATGTATAGCGTATTTGTGAAACAAAATTATTGATTTGAGCTGTTTATATAGGAGTTTAAAGTAAAGTAATGCATCATCTATGGTCAACATATATGTATATATATCGATTAGTACTGTGGAGTGTTGTTCCAGTGCGCCCAAGACTCCAACAGCCTGTTCGCTTGCTCGATCGTAAATTTTCAGCCAGAAACAGTGTTTTTCTCTTACACCAAACCAACCAGCAGTAAATAATCCACGATACGATACGGCCTCCCGGACATGCTACAAGAGGCTATATATCACTGAAGTTTTTCACTCTTTCATGCATGGTTCTACCAGACACTTAAGCCGGGATCACGAACATTTGTTGAGCACATTGCATTCTATAATCAGCTTGCAGCAACACCCACAACAACTATAAAATCATCATTCTCATTCTCGCAAGGGAACACGAATGTGGCTGATCAGCCCCGTTCGCTTGAACTTATCTATTTTTCTCTCACAATAAAACAATATCAATCGGCTTATCAGCCGCAAAAATCATCGGCCGTTGCAAGTGTGCTGTGTTCAAATGCATGCACTGCTGCACTAACGTTTGTGTATGATGCCTTGTTAGTTCCAGGGCGTAAAGTTTTTGGATGTCACATCGGGTGTCACATGAAAGTGTCGCATGAGGTGTTTAGATACTAATAAAAAAAATAAATTACAGAATCCGTCGATAAACCGCGAGACGAATTTATTAAGCCTAATTAATCTATCATTAGTACATGTGTTACTGTAGCACTTTATTGTCAAATCATGGACTAATTAGGCTTAAAAAATCGTTTCGCAAAGTATTTACAATCTGTGTAATTAGTTATTTTTAGTCTATATTTAATACTCTATATATGTGTCTAAACATTCGATTGTATAGGGTGTAAATTTTTTTTGGAGTAAACAATGCCTGAGTTGTTAATGCCCACAAGGCAAGTAGCACTTCCGGGCCCTGTTCGGCTGATATTAAAGTCGGCTGAAGCTGCTTTGTTATAAGAAAAAAAATTATTATAAATTTTATCTGATAAACCGACCAATAAATTCAAACAAACGTGCCCCTGCGCACGGGGTAGGCGTACACGGTACACCCTCATGCACACATCAGCAGTATGCCTCTACAGCCCGAAGCATAGCAACAGCAAGGCAGCAACCAGCAGGCTAGGATGGAGAGGGCATAGGGGTGCATTATTGGGCTGCAGGCGTGGGCCTTCTAGTTATTGGGCCTTAGGGTAGTTGTTGCTTGGGATCATCCCGGATTTGAGAAATATGGAACAAATACTGGATATTTTCGGCCAAATACAGGACCCTGTGAAAACGTGTGGGATGAAGCTTCTCCTGTTTCCGTCCCGGTCCCAATAACTTTTGACCCGGCTTCGGTCCGGTTTTCAGATTTTTCCGAAAATACGGAAATATACGGGTCAAAGGTAGAAAAACAGACTGCTGTCGTGATAATTTCAGTTCGTTTTCAACCCTACTTAGCAGGCATACCCACTCTCCATGCTTTGCTCATTATGGATGAATAGGTTTCAACCCTACTTAGCAGGTATACCCACTCTACATGCTTTGCTCAGGCCTTGTTTAGTTTCTCCCCCTAAAGTTTCTCTATCACATCTGATGTTTGACACATGCATGGAGTATTAAATATAGACTAAAAAATAACTAATTGCACAGATTGCGACTAATTTACGAGACGAATGTTTTAAGCCTACTTAGTATATGATTTGACAATGTGGTGCTACATTAAACAGGTGCCAATGACGGATTAATCATGCTTAATAAATTCGTATCGCGGATTTCGGAGGACTTCTGTAATTTGTTTTATTGTTACTATCGGACACTCCCATGTGACACCTCGATGTGACACATCTAAACTTTAGTCCCTAAATTTAAACACCACCTCATTGTGGATGAACTAGGCTAGCAACTAGCTAGTGGCTACTAGGCGGGGTCGTGGGCATTACTCGGGTCACTCCCAAAAGTACACTTCTAGTATTTAAACTTTGTCTCGTAATAAATGCACATATAGGTATGAGACCGTTTAGTTTTAGTAGCCTTTTTACTATCTCTATTACTAAAGTGCAATTATTACTGCTCTAACACATTTTAACAGGGGTATAAATATAATTTCTCTAGTAACATTGGTCTTGTTATACAGATATCAAGGCTTGCAGGTTTGACGAGGAAGACGAGTGTCATAGGGTTGTTCAACCGGTACGTTTACCAAAGGATCCATCGAATAAAGGGTGAAAAATATACCCTTATTATCACGGTACAAGTCTAAAAGCATACACTTAATATCACGGTCAGTGCCAGACAAGGCTAGGGGGGCCGTGCCCCCCCTCCCCCAATACTGTGAAACATTTTTAATACCCTGTAAATATTTCAATTGCACAACATATCATTTCACCCCTTTTATAATATTATGACTTTTCGTTATGAATACTAAATACATTAAAAACTATTAAGATATACACACTATGTATATATCTTGAGATGTTGTAACTCTCCAAGAAAATTAGAATAACTTATAGTTTAAGACGGAAGGAGTAGTAATTTTAAGCAAATGACCAAACAGAACTCTCGGTTCCATAACATTAACAGTGCCAATATCTCTACTATCTCTCTTATTTTAGAACCAGTGCTGATGTGGAGGAGAAAATAGAGTAGACCTTAGATCTCATGCAAGCAACAATTTGTGCAGGACAACATATACAGTAATTCGCCCAAGTAGTAAGTATATGTGAGAAGGAATAAAAAAATAATATGAGATATGATCTCGCATAATACTAAAAAAAACTTTTTGTAGAAATATGAGACAACTATTGTATAAGTTGCATTTTATAACTTTGACTTATAGCCAAGCACTTGAGGTTCTATTACTGACCTTGCTCTTACAGTTTTATAGCCATGCAATTGGATCACTTAGATGTTATTTAATGAGATTGAAATTGTCATGAAACATGCTTACATGCAATTGCACTAAGAATGGCTTTAAATAAAGATTGCGATACTAAAATAGTTAAATAGTACTCCTTCCGTTTTTTTACGTTTCATGTTAGGTTTGTCCTAAGTCAAATATTACTATCTTTGAACATTTATTTCAACGATTCTTAGTCAGTCTCAATGACAGTTTCATGAGCATTAAATAAGCTAATGTGGCATAGTATTAATGAAGAGAAATTTGATAAAAGTTTAATGGATTGAAATGAGTTTCATGGCGATGAAAACAGTGAGAAAAAACTCCGCTAAGACTGGCCTTATAGTTTTACAACATATATTACTCCCTCACTGCCCTATACAAGGCGTGTACATGTTTTTTGTTTTTACCAAAATACTAGGCAAAATTTACTCTCTAAATAATTAATTAGAGTTATTTGAGTAAAAACCATTTTCTATATTTTTGTATCCTCCAACATATTTTCTATATCTTGAATACACTCTATAGAGTCATCCACGCTCTCCATAGAAATTTTATAAAAATTTACTCTCTAAATCATTAATTAGAGTTATTTGAGTAAAAATCGTTTTCTATATCTTTATACCCTCCAACAACCTTTCTATATCTTGTTTGCACTCTCCATAGAAATAGCTAATTCAATCAACAGGTTATGAGAAAACATACAGATAAAATGATCTAACCAACATCTAAGTGATCACCAGAACAAGATCCTTTGGTGAAGCACTAAGACCCTCATCAACCAAATGTCGAGATTAAGATAGCCACCACCATGACTATCAGACTATGACAAAACCACATAGACGACCATACTACCAATCAGAATCAAACCCTGAAATTCAACTAGTATTCAATCCATGCATCGATTGAGCTAATATAGCAAAGGATATCCATGTCTCAGCACAAGCGCACTTTCAACCTGTATCACAAAACCAAACTGCAACCTTATCACCAGGCTTACTAATCATAAGGCAGGTGTTCTAAGGGTCACACCAAGTTCAACAAACATAGCACAAATTCGACATTGATCCAACTCCATACAAGAACCACCAAGACACACAACCACCTCAGCGCAACCTCCTGGCCTCCCTCTCGGATTCGAGCAGGGTGAGGATGTCGCCCTCGCGAACTGGGCCCTTGACGTTCCTCATGATGAGACGGTTCTGGTCATCCAAGAACTTCACTCTGACCTGGGTCACCTGACCCCTGGAGCCGGTCCTGCCCATCACCTTCACCACAACAGCAAGCTTCACCTGGGTGTCCATGCTGCACTTGTAGAAAGCAGTTGTCAGTTATCAAGGTGAATCAGATCCTTCGGCCACAAAGTTCATTCAAACTGCAGTTAGGTAAACATAAACTATCACATGGTTTCCAAAAAAAAACGCAGCTTTGAAGTAGAAACTGGCAAACAGATTAACAACATTACACATCTAGGGACAGAACACGCTCCATTTGGTGTCCAGCAGATTGCCCCTTGCAGTATGAAAGAGAAGTGAAGTTCACAGATTCTTGCTATGGCACAATACAAATTATTACCATCACCTTGCATTCTATCAGTTCTCCAAGAATGCTTGCTTGCTGTGGCAAGATTACAAATTATCAACACCACCTTGCATTCGAGAGGCTTCGGACCATTGCAGAAATCAGGTTTTGTTTGCTAAAATAAAACATCCATGCTTTATTCGACAACGAACACTGAAAAATCCATGATTATTGAGAGTACTGCGCTAAGAAATATGTGTCCTTCACGATGCTCGATGCTTAACTAGACAAACCTACAGATCAGCTTCATTCACGAACCACATCTAAACCTAGGAGACCCTTCAAAGTTCTATCACAAAGTCTCTACAGATGACATCAATAAGCAGGAACCCACACGGCCACACCAGATTCCTGGCCACACAGCACAGCATCCAACATTTAAAATGAACAAAATCAGAGCTACTGCTACTCATCCATCACGTAGTAGCCATGGCACAAGAAAAAACATCTTAACACCAGAGGATTCAGGACGCTTATACAACAAACAAGTCTCCCAAACAGGAAATTGGTACTATAACAACATCTCAATAAATAAACACGCGACGCAGCATAAAACCTGCAGCTACGGCATATCGCAGGGATGGATGGACTGGAGTAGAGGAGGCTCACCTCACGCTTCAATTGCGGACGGAGGCCGACGAGCTCACGGGCACACGAAGGAAACAGGGGCGGCGGCGGCGCGAGCAGAGCACTGGAGGAGGAAGGAAACCCTAGGCCTGCGCTGGCTTGGTATTGAGCTGAGGCCGCCGTGGACGAGAACGGGAAGCGCTGGCTGGCATTGGGCTAGACCGTCTGGATGGGCCTCATCGAAAGCCAACTCGTGTGCTGGATTCAGGATGGGCCGGGCCGAGTGTCAGGGACATTATAGTAGTTTCTCGGCACCAAAGCCCCGCCCGTTCCGGCCCACGGCGACTGCTCGTGTGCGTACAAAGTACAAACGCAATGTAGTGCCTGTCGCATGTGTGTTTTGACCTATCGACAATTCGATCTCCACCACCATTGCTCTGATCAGATCAGCCTTGTGCTGATTGGACAAACCAGGAGTGAAAAGTTACTTGACTGATCAAATGCGTCAAATGTTCACAGAAAACAGTGCCAAGAACAAGAAGGATCAGCAACCAGATGACAGGTACTCCGTAAGGTACTGGTACAGTGTACTACATCGAAGCTAGCAATACCCATACTCCATCGTCTTAGCCTAGCTTAACACACGCCGTAACATCTCATACCCATAGCAGAACAGGAAACACAGTACAACTACAACAACAACTCCAACAGCAGCAGCAAATTGTCTGTCACGTCACGTACTAGAACAACGACACATCACATTCTTCTGGTAATTTTTTTGGTGGCACAACTTGACAGAGGTCTAGAATGAGCTAGGCGACAGCTCAGGCACGAGCAGGAGAAGGTAGCCGGCGAGCAGCACCGTCAGTGCAGCACCAGCGGTCGCCGCCGAGGAGGAGACGCCGCCTCCGTTGGTCGCCTGCAGCGCGCGGGAGTCGGTCGTCGCCGTCGAGTTGTCCTTGGCTGCAAAGACAACCAGAGGGTGGTCAGATACTCAGATCTCAATCGAGTGTAGTGTAGTAGTGTTTTCCAACAGTAAAAAATTGGTGGGGATAAATTGGACAGAATTGTCTTCTTAATTCGCGTGACAAAATCACTACATTTTCTACTGTGCAGGGGCACTATTATTTAGTGGTCACTTACCGAAGTGTTTCATAATATAAACATGCTCAAAATATGTGTAATCATGGCAAAAGGATCTCTGTTTTTTTTTTAATTTCTCGAAAATAAAACGTCAAATGAATGAAGTGCGACGCATGGAGGCAATAATAACGGAGGAGAGGCAGGCTGACCTGGAGCGGCAGTGGAGCCCTTGTCGCCGCCGGGGCTGAAGACGGCGGCGTCTTTGGAGCCCGGAGGAATATGCAGGAGCTCTGCAGCAAAAGAACACACGAACACACATTTTAGATTTTACTATTTACCATCGCCGTGCACCCATGATTTGGCTTGGGGAGAAGAGAACGACGAAGCACTAAAGTTGAGAGGAAAAGGCCGGCGGCCAAAGTTGCATTTCTGCTACTGACATCATGTCATTTCCACAAAGAAAACTGAAAATGCAGCTGGTGAAGTTCCATGGGCTGGCCAGCTAAAACTGACATCATGCCATTTGCACAAAGAAAGCAACGCCGGGCGCTGGCCTTGTGTCTTGGCTAGCACTGGCTGAAGGAAGAAGAAAGCAACTTACGAGCGCAGTGGGAGACGTTGGCGCGGGTGGCGCCGCAGGCGTTGGGAAGCGCGAGCGCGAGGGTGGCGTTGATCTTGATGCCCAGGTTTGGGTCGTCCTTGTCCTTGACGAGCACGCACAGGCACTTGGGGCTCTTCCCGAGCACCTGCCGCAGGCCGCCGCAGCAGTCCGGCGGCGGCGCGCTGGCCTGCCCCTGCACGTACTGCAGGCACGGAGCCAGCCCCACCAGCTGGTCCGCGCACTCCGTCTTGTCCGCGCTCATGTCGCCGCCCGCCACGGACGCCATGGCGATGGCCGTCGCCGCCGCCAGCGCCAGCACCGCCGCCGCCCACCGCGCCATCGACGACGACCGAGTTTGTGTCTTGCTAGCTCTCCTTTCCCTGCGGCCTGCGGTTCAAGTGCGAGTGAGTGAGTGAGCGAGCTGGGCCGCCGCTGGCTGGGGGGTTTGGTGAGGGGCAGTTATGGCCCCGTTCGGGCTTACCTTCAATCCGCCTCGTTGGTCTTCTTTTTTCCGATCCAAAAAGTGTTTTTGTCTCAGGTATTTTTAGGGCCCGTTTAGTTTCTAAAAATTTTACGAAGTACCTATCACATCGAATCTTACGGCATATACATGAAGTACTAAATGTAGATAAAAAAAACTAATTACACAGTTGAGTGAGAAATCGCGAAACAAAACTTTCGAATCTAATTAGTCTATAATTAGACACTAATTACCAAATACAAACGAAAGTGCTACAGTACCAAAACCTAAAAATTTTTGCATCTATACACGCCCTTAGCCATGGCGTGCCCGGCCGGGCTACTGCTCGCGTCGTGCCGGTGTGGTATGGACAGGTCACAGGCGGATTCGCAGTGGCACACTGTTTCATGGCCTGACCGACAGTGCGGCAGCGGCCGGGAGGCCCAGCTGTCTGTCCGGACTCTGGTAAAAAAACAACCAACCAAGCTGTCCTGGAGTGTGGTCACTGCTCCAGTGGAATTCATGGACCTAACCCGGTGCTGTTGATCCAAGTGCCGGCCACGACGTTCCACACGTGACGTGAAGTTGAGCTCTGTCGAAAACTCGAAACGATGTGATGATGGCGTTGCCAAAGCCGCCATGGACGCCACGAGAGTCCACTCGGTCGTTCCGTTGCCAATTCGCCCTCGTGTTGACGGACACGAAAGGGAGCAACCCTGCAGCGCATGGTGCAGGTGCAGCGATGCTGGTCCGGCCCGGCATTGATTCTTGGCTATGGCCGATGGCCCCAGTAACTCGAGCATTGATGCTCGCCTCGCCGTGGGGACTGTCGCAGGCGGCGGCGGCAGTCGAGCAGCTCTGGTGGAAAGCCTGAAACTCCATGTGCCATCGCGGACTGCCTGGCTTGACAGCAGGAAAGAGAGTGCTATTGCGGCCGTTGCCACTTACCATTGCCCAACTTTTTTCTTCTTCCTTGGTCATTGCATTCATATCAGGGCACCTCATATCACATCTTGGCCCCGTTGGGCTTACCTTAAATCCGATTTGTTCAACTTCTTTTTTTCCAGAGCTGGATCAGTGTTTTTCTCTCACAACATTTCAACCAGAAGAGTGTTTTTCAGCCAAGTTTCAGCAAGCCGAACGAGGCCACTTGTCTAGAGTACTACCGCCACTACATACACAGACCGTTCGTTTTAGATACGAAATTGCATCGGTGACGCACCGGAACCTAGCCATTTATCCCACAGGACTCTTGGACGAATTGGCATGGCAAAAGAAAAACAAAACAAAGCAGTCCCTTCTTTGAACTAGCCTTGTTCGGCTCATGATTTCTACGGCCGATAAGTTGGCTGATGCTGACTTGTCGTGAGATAAAAATATTATACCATGATCGATAATCCTTAGAGGAAGCAAGCAGTAAAAGAGTGAGATTACCGGCAGCAACTGTATCAGAAGTTCAGAATTCAGATACGATCAGGCCGTTCAGGGACAGGACCAACCTAGAGAGGCAAGCCATCTAATGCGGCTTTAACTTTTACGTACCAGGGATAGCAGCGGCAATGAATTGTAGGCAGCAATAGTGAACAGGCTGCTGTTACTGTAGGCAGGGAGTGGCGTCAAGATGCTGACAGCGCAGCAGGTGACATCCATCACAGACTGCCGCAACTTGCATTGCTTGTCTTTCCATCAGTTTTTTTACACTGGCATTGCCACCAGCAAGTTCGATCCTGGGGGTTTACAAATGAACTGGGGAAAATTCATTTCTTCCAAGCCAGTTTCAACATGTCCTTGCCATGTGAAACAAGATACATAGTATAGCAAGTTCAAGAATCGAAATATAATGATAGATTGAGATGGGTGTTTCAGAAACCAAGTAAACCATTGCAAAAGAGACGTCAAATTTCACAGATTTCACAGTTTTCATTCAATATAGCATCCCCAATGTGAAGCTCAATTTCTTTGCGACAGCCTCACCAGGTATTTGTTCCATACCCTTCATGATAACCCAACATCACTTTTCAACTAAAGCATCTTCAACACACACACACACACACCAAAAAAAAAACTACGCCAAAGCTGATCCCCGCTCAAGAGACATACACAATGGAAGGGATCATTTCCAGTTTGTAAGAACTACTAGAGTAAATTCATGGTAGGAAACAAAAATGTGGACAACAAACCCACATTGAAGGTGAGGAGGCGAGAATGTGAGGCTGGAAAACTAAAAATGACATACAAATCTATTAAATTATTTCTCTTTGCATTGATATATCTTCTATAGGAAGTCACATTCCAACTAGTGCCACTAAAGAAACATCAGGGTGGAAATGTAAAAGGGTGAGGAACATCACAAGCCTCTTTCCCTTAGGCTTCTCGTTCCTGGCTTCCGCGAGGGTACATTCTCGTGTGATTGTCGAGAATCCTCCCCTACAGCTCCTCCTGGTGAACATGAATGAATTAGGATATGAGATATAGATAGTAAAATGGGCAACATCAGCACATCAAGAGTAGAGCTACAGATTTAAAAGTATACAAAAACACAGAGAACAAGAATATCATGCAGGGTCAGGACATGGCCACATATGCTAGCACATTTTTTAGCAGATCGTGCATTCAGTGAGTTCCAAAATCAAGCATACCACTTCAGAATATAGGAGACAGACATTCCTATTACCTACAAAGACGATTAACACACAAAAAAAGTAAAATCAAAGGCAGTACTGCATGAGTAGTAGTAGTATTCTGCCCATACCTAAAGTATTATCGTCTAACTCTAGGCTTGCACCGGAATTCTGCTAGTAGTGCTATATGATCCGACGACCATTCAGGAGAAGGAAGAGCTGTGTCTTTTCTCAAGCCATCCTCATCCAACAGTTCCAATAATGACTCCACAGTCAATGAATCCGCTGAAATAGTAGAGCATGTTAAAAGACAACGTTAACATCTACTTATTCCAGGTCAACAGAGATAGCCAAAGTAAAGAGGGAGGGAGGGACGGAGGGAGGGAGGGAGGGAGCAATAAGCACTAACCTGTGTAAAATATGTAATCTATGGTACCAGTAAAATCCCTTGTGCAATTTGTGAACAATGGCTCATTTGTCGCGGGGTCCATCCTCCTTCGCTGGTGATCCAAATCATAGCCAACACCAGCCATACTCACGAATGACGAGTATGCACTGACCTATGAAGAAGCAAATCCTTTATTCAGAGCCACAACAAGAATAAAAAGGGAAACCAATAGGTAAGATCCATGATAGACTAAACATACCAGAGGAAGCTGGTGTGTCAGCTTGCTTAGTGGGCGCAAAATTCCAAGAGGATCTATTGCCAGATCTGGATGCAAATGATCAACTTTGCCCCTTGCAAGAAGCCAATGTGACGTACTACATGAACCACATGATTGTTTATCATTCACTAGAAGTATTCAAACTGAAAGACAATAACTCTTTAAGTCTCTAACAGAAACAAAAAGAAGGGCTGCTAATATCTAACAAACCTTCCAGGAGTTGAATTAAAATCTCCACAGACCAACATTGGAATGTCTGCACTGACAGCTATTTTTTCCAACCCTTTTAGGAGGGTATGAATCTGCAAGAGTTTGAAAGCCATGAGATTCATCAGCTAAAGAAATTATAAAATGTTATGAAATTACATAGGGGGAAGGGGGGTGATCTGAACCTGCCATAGCTTCACATCTTTAAGGTCATGGTGGATATTTATATGTGTATTAGCCTGCAAAAAATCAAGAACAAATGAGATCCACAAGGCATAAAATATTAAAATATGTTATTACTATCTCCAGTCTAAAACAGATGCCTCCTACAGACATAGACAAACTTTAGAAACTTTGACCACTATTATCCATAGCTATCGCGTAAAAATGGATACGAATAGACCACCATCAAAGTTACTTCTTTATCAATTTCAATACACACTTAGACCAGAGATCGCATTTATGTCAGATACAACAAGTAAATAGAAACATAGGTGGTACAAGAGACCTACACAATAAAACAAGATCAATTGATATGTTCAAAAGCCCAACGAAACTAGGGATACTTGACATGATCTAGTCAAAAGAGCTCAGCTTTCCATACCCAAACTGAACACTAAGTCTATAACTGAAAGTCTTCCATTTCTCTTTTTTCACTGTTCAGTGAGGACCTTGGTTTTCTTGTCACTTTTGCCAAGTAAAAATATGGTTGACCACCTTCCAGACTAAAAAGCTTAGACGAGCAAATGACCAGTTTACCTGTCTTCTAATATGTTATTTATTCCTTAACTGTTACCATTATCCTCATGTCTAGCAGAGCAGTTCAGTCTGGCTTGATCAATGTATGGATCTAGCTATACCATACCATTTATCTTCATTCTAAGAATCCCACACCTAAAGGTAGTTTTATTAAAAAGGATGGCAAGCAAATTATGGTCAATGAACATTGACCTAACAGAGGTGGCACACTAAATTCCAAATGAACTAGTGATAAAAAAATAGAAGTGCCAAATTTATGTGGTACGAGCAGTGGCGAAGCCAGGACTTAGATGTAGGGGGGACAAATCTCAATAGGGGGGGCCATTTACTCTTTAATTACATGGTAGATTAGCTAGGTCATTAAGGGGTAATAATGTAAAAATAGCAAAGTTAGGGGGGCAGGCACCCTCCAGCCCCTCCCTAGCTTCGCAACTGGGCACGAGAGAGCATGGTTCTCCTTGATGAGGAAAAGAAAGCATTCTCACTGGTAAAGATACCATCAACTACTCACAACACAAAAATAACAACAAAGCCTAAAGAACTCAAAACTAAAAGATTATCAAAATAACAAGTTGTATCTATAATAATCAGCATTACATGGGTTATTATGAAAAGAGATAGCATGCAA